CTTTCACGTATATGAGACGGAGGATTTCAGTGTGAATAAGAGGGCTTACTGCAACGTCCTCCAAGTCGCTGAGGCCGTCATCCTCATCTTCGCTGATGTCGCTCACAAATTCACGGTCACCCCACTCGTCCGCCTCGTCTTCTAGCTCCTCTTCGTCCTCTTCGTCCGTCTCATCTGCTTCCATATCCAGCTCGGCATCCTCGAGATCTTTGCCACCGTTTTTCTCGCGATCGAGAATTGTCTGCCAGACGGTCTCGTTCACGTTCAGCGGTGCGTCGCCGTACGCCTTGGATTTCAGGCGTTCGATCAGCTCCTTCTCAATGGAGCGCTCGAGGTGTGCGGCAGACAGCGCTTTCCGCTCGCGCACAGCTGCGCGCCGCTCGAGCTTCTTTTTAATGCCAACGAGTTTCGGTCTGAGGATAGAATGGGTTGAATGCAATACATAGATGGCAGATACGCACTGTTGGCGGAGCTTCAGACGGCGCATTTTGATCAAGTACTGCGTTATTTTTGTTACGCGCTGCTTGCATTTGTGGATTGTAAAGTTAGGCCAGTGAATGAGTTCGTTGTCGATCTACGGACAGTGTGAGTCCTGGGGTCGATTAATTGGCAAGATACACAAGAACCTGTTCCAGGGCCTTGGAGTAGTTGTTTGAGAGCTTTATGCGCTCCCACATGTGGGCCGGGGAATGCGCCCGTTCTATGGTCTTGACATACAGGTATAAAACGCCTACAACGGCGGTCAGACGCGGGCTGAGACCCCGTAAAGTCTAGTAGACCTTCTTTCTCGCGGACAGTGGCGTATCTGGAATTTGCCAAGGGGCAGGACTGGCGATTGCAGAAACCGGTAACGTTGTACTCATTCCGGCAAAAGTTTTGGGTGGTTGTTCTGAACAAGGGTAAGGGAGGAATTAATTGTCTCTGGCTTCTTACTTGACTTTATAAGAGCAAAACTGGTGGTTTATGACAGACCATATAACGTCGTCGCTCTGCATGAGGGGAGGTCAAGGGGAGATCCAAAAAAATCGCAAAGCTGCAGAACAACAAATGCAAAGTCGGCAAGTGGAACTTGCTTCCCGACGACGATGGTCAGCCAGCAGCCCAACGGCGTCAAGGCCATCAAGTCAAAAAATCAGCTTCGGCGCTTGAAGCACAAGCAACGCAAGGCCGCCGTCGTCGAGAAACCCCCACAAGTTGCGTCTTTCCCAGTCGTTTTCCGACTCATATGCTCACATTTTACCTAGGATACCAATGGTGTCCCCAACGGCGAGGATGCCATGAATGTGGATGATGATGACAATGTCGAGTACGTGTCTGAGCAGTTGGATGCCAACGGGTCCGTTTTGGAAGTCTTTTCCGACGTCTTTGCACGCTTTCAGTTACCCCCCGAGGAGTCAGCAGTGAGTGCTACGTTTCTCCATCCCGAGGCGCTTAAACACGCCAATTTCAGCAGGGAAAAGGCTCGGTGAACACCAAGGGTGAGGTCATCTACTCGGACGACGACATGGCTTCCGAGGGCGATTCTGACGCCGAGGCGAAACCGATTTCAAAAAAGAAGCAGCGTAAGCTGTCTCGGCTCACTGTTGCGGAGCTCAAGCGCCTCGTGAAGAAGCCCGAGGTTGTCGAGTGGACCGATGTGACTGCCGCTGATCCTCGACTGCTTCTGCACCTAAAATCACAACGCAATACGATCCCGATACCCATACACTGGTCGGCTAAGCGCGATTATCTTCAGGGCAAGCGCGGTATTGAGAAGCCGCCGTTCCAGCTCCCTTCGTATATTGCCGATACGGGAATCGCCACCATGCGGGACGCGGTGAAAGAGAAGGAGGCGGGTATGAGCTTGAAAGCCAAGACGCGAGAGAGAGTGCAGCCGAAGATGGGCAAGGTCGACATTGACTATCAGAAACTACATGATGCGTTTTTCAAATTTCAGACGAAACCGCCCGTCACTGGTTTTGGGGAGATGTGAGTGGCGCTTTGCCCACCCAGTTCTGACTCTCTGACTATTTTTGTAGGTATTATGAGGGGAAGGAGTTTGAGACGTCGCTCAAGGAGAAACGCCCGGGCGACCTTTCCCCCGAGCTAGTTGAGGCCCTTTCGATTCCCCCGTTGGCACCTCCACCGTGGCTTATCAGCATGCAACGATTCGGACCTCCACCGAGTTATCCTACTTTGCGGATACCCGGGCTTAATTCTCCCATTCCCGAAGGGTACGTTCGGGAAAAGCATTTGTTTCGCTCTGACATTTATTCCAGGGCGCAATGGGGTTTCCATCCCGGAGGTTGGGGCAAACCGCCTCTTGACGAATACAATCGGCCACTGTACGGAGATGTATTCGGTGTCTTGCCCAAGGCGGGTGACGCAGATGTGAGCAAATTCAGTGCTTTTCTGGCTCCAAACTGATCCGTGACACAGATGGGGGAACCCGTTGATAAAAATCTATGGGGTGAGCTTGAGCCGGAAGAAGGCAAGTGTATTGGATGATCTCTTGTTATTTACGTCGCTGATGATATCGCTGCAGAGGAAGAAGAGGACGACTCCTCTGCGGAGGGTTCGGATTCTGAAGACGAGATGCCCGCACCGGCTGATGGGCTCCAAACTCCTTCCGGTCTGGAGACGCCGTCGGGCATGACCAGTGTCGTGTCGACTGTGGCTGGTGGTCTCGAGACCCCAGACTTCCTCGAGTTGCGGAAAGGAAGGGCTGCATCGGAAACGTACGACGCTGGCCCAAGATCTCTGTACCAAGTCGTTCCCGAGAAGCAAACGGCTGTGAGAGGCTTGATGGGCAGCGAACGTGGTTACGATGTCAGCGCTGTGGCCTCCACCTCGCACGCAACTATCCCCGTGCTGGGAGACGAGAGATCTACCAAGGCAAATGATACTCCCCCATGTTTCACTGTTTACTAACATGAGAATGCAGCGCAAGGCTAACGGCGTGGATGTTTCCATTGACGCTGCTGAACTTGAAGGGCTCTCTGAAGAGGAGCTACGTCGCAAATACGACGCTCACTCGCGGGGGTCGGCAGGAGTTCCTGGTTCTCGAGAAGACTTCTCCGACTTCGTGGCGAAAGAGATCGCCAGCCGCAATAAGAAGCAGAAGGGTCAGGAGAGAGACCGGGACTCAAAAAAGGGCAAAGAATTTAAGTTTTGATGTTTTCCTAGTTCTTGTAGTCGTTATTGCTGAGTTTATGTGCTCAAGGGTGTTCTTGTATCGTTGAAGTTGGGTGTTTTATGCACTCGAAATACTTCCCAACGCGGTTTGCAGTTGAAACTTTAAAGGCAGCGGTCAAAGCCAGGAATATTGATGGCATCACATAACTTAATACCTCATCAGACGAACAAGGATGTGGACCAGGTTGCGACTAATAGGCTCTCTCCTCTGCTGTCTCCCTCGCTCCCATTGAACTCACACTCCTCTCTTCAATCTACCTGCCCTGGCCTCTCGTCTACCGTTGACCGTAATATTGATGGTTCCTGTTAGTCCTCCCACCGGTTTCGCGGAACTTCGGAGGAGCACCCTCGGGGAGGGTTCGAGCCCCATCGAGAAAAATTGGAAATGAAATGAAGTACGGGTGGCTTATGTAGAGTCAGGTTAATTGAGCGGTCAGTGTTTCTACTACAGAGTAATTACAAGTGAATATCCGCTATAACCTCTAGACTCTATACTAACGGTGATTCACAACTCTAAGTCGGACGCTGAAGGAGTCGTTGAAGGCAAGTGACTTGGCAAGGTGCATCTCTTGATAAAAAGGAAACCAGATTCGCCAAATCAGAGAGTTCCGAAGACCGCAAGTTTATCCCTGGGCCCGAGTCCAAGGACAATTCCAAGTGATGTTTCGTACATCAAGACCAAGAAGAAACAGGAGGGAAAACATAACCTCGTTATATGTACATCTGCCGTGTGCGATGCGCTGAGACTGTCTATACTCGAAGGACGTCTACGCGCGCCGATTATTATAAGCTGTTCGAGACCCGGCGAAATGACGCCCAGGCGAAAAACATCCAGGCCTGGTGAGGGCTTCATTATTTGACATGCAATTTAAGGACCTGGGACAGCCATAATGCACTCGTGATCGAGGCAAGAATGTCCTCGGCGTCAAGTTTACCGCTTCGCAAGCTTGACCCATGGTTGTCAGCTGGCTTCTTCACGTGGGACACAGTTTTATGTCGGGTCTTGCGGAAATCCTCCGCGGTTCAAGCTGCCAAGCGCATATATTTGCGGTGCCACCTCCAGCGGTCGAGGACGGAAATTGGAATCCAGTAAATCGCCTTGATGTTAGCGAGTCTCTAGGCGAACAAACGAAAATGTACAGGGTACACAACAGCAATTCCGTGGCGGCTCTAGGCGAATAAGCCAAACATGTTCAGGGTGAGATAGAGTCCACAGCAGCAGTTCCAGAGATCGATAGTGCTGGTCAACAAGGTTAGGGTGGTCCCGAGCGAGGCGAAAAAATGATATTAGGAGTCGTTTTTTAATCAGCAAGGGCAGTTTGGAGGGCGAATCGAGCCGTGCTGGTCGCTCTGAAGCTGAACAAGATTCTCTGGTGTCGACATGCCGGAGGCGTCATTTCGGCGGCGGCTTTTGTCAATACACGCTTCTTCTTTGCACGACTAGGATCGTCAACTTCCAGTCTAGAAGAAAGGTTTGTTGACAAGAGAGTTGTGATAAACTCAGTTGTCTGATCTTGAGTGGGGACGGAAAGCGTATGCTTGCGGAATGAGGGAGTAGACAGAGCAGGAGGTTATCCGCGAAGGTTTGGGTCGAACTTAAACGCGCAGAACATCGATTTATCGAGAATCCTTGAATTTTCGCTATTTCTTCAGAGTGCCGCTTCGCTGAACAAAAAGGAAAACCTGCCCAACCCAAGATATGGGGCTCGAACACACAACCCAAACGCGTCTAGATTTTATTAGAACGTCTTCAGAACTTCAGAGCGGCTTTTCGTGGTATCCCCCAGTAAAAATGCGATAACACAGAGGTCCTGGCAGCAAAATAGAACCGCCGATGGGGCTCGAACCCACAACCTTTGCCTCATTACGTAATCGTGGTGGGTTCGAGCCCCATCAAGAATAATAGGAAGGCAACGCACTACCTTTGTGCTACGGCGGCCATCGGAGACGCATCAATCGTTAAGAAAACAATCCTACCGTGACCAAATGTTGCTGAAAGTCGATTTAAGAGGAGTACAGATTCGTTGGAGAATTTGCCGTCGAGGGAAGAAGAAAGCGCGAAAGTGACGAAAGCAAGTAAACGATTGTAGAACTTTGTAGAACGATTTTCTTTGGGTCATAACGGGCTGGCGGTTGACCTACGCTCATGATTTTGCGCATCGGATGCTACAAGTCGATTGAACTCAGAGTGGTGGGTGCGGCCAAGGGCTGAGCGCTGAGCGCCGAGCGCTGAGTGACAGAGTGGCGAAATTCAACTTCAAAGCAGGCTCGATCACAGTCGATCACCGATCACTCGAGTCTTAGTAAGCTTTCCCGTTCGAGCAAATGCCAAAATTGATGTTGTGGGTTCGAGCCCCATCACTCGATCAAGATATGCGGTATACAAAAAGATTACGAAGGACGACGAATGTGGTTCAACTCCTTCATGATATCCTTCATCATGTCCATATCCTTGCTCGGTGTCCACCAACCGTTCTCCGGCAGATATTCCTTAGAGTGGGTGTAAACGCAGCGGTCTCCAAAACGGCAGCCATCCAGTAGCCAGTAGTTGCACACGTTGCGGCCGCTGCAGAGTATCATGTCACTTTCTTGACATACGAATGGATGATGAGCTTACAGCTGGTCCCTCGTCGATTTATCCTTGGTCGGTGCGTGCTTGAACCGGCATTGTGATCCTTTCGCGCATCCATCGTGGTTGTAAAACCGACAGGGCTTGCCGTTTCCTTCGTGTTCAAAGTCGCTCGAGTCGCTATCAGAGACAATTTCTAGCGGGCGGCCATCCAACGGAGGCTCAAAAAAGTCGAAATCGTCATCTTCGCTCTCCTCGTCTTCGTCGGAATCAAGATCCTGTCCATCCGAATCAGCCCACTGGTCTTCATATCCCGTGGCCTTGAGCCTAGCACACTCTCGACGGGCGTCAACTATCGCTGCGGGAAATTGTGGGTCGGTAGGTGCCAGCTTCGCGCACGCTTCGAAATCTAGTACAAAATATGAGACCTGTACATTTGCAGGAAAGAGGATGCAACCTTCTATTGCGTCCTTGAAACACAGCATATTGAGTCGCGCCGAACCTCGGCGGAATCGTGCCTTGAGATGCTTCGGCTCGTGTTTGAGCGCCTCTTCACACGCCTCCTCAGCTTCCTTATACCTGTAAGAAATTCCAGACCAGAACTTGGTAGAAACGATGATCGATCTCACATTTCCAATTTCATATACGCCGCAGCAAGGTTGGCTTGATATGTGGGCTGCGGTCCGCGGAGAGCAATGGCACGCTTGTAGAAGGAGACCGCTCCGCGGCTGTCCCCTCCGCGGAATAGGGCGTTTCCCTGGCAGTATGAGCTTCGAGTATAATATTTGATTTAAAACGTACTTGTTCTTTCAGTTGCTCCGCCTCGGTCTTCTTTTTATTGGAAACGGCAGCGCGCTTTATTGCCCTCGCCTCAACTTCTCGTTCGCGGCTCCGGGGTGCTTTTTTGTTAACGGGTGCAGCTGGGGTGGCCGGAGCTGGCCTTTGGGTAGGGATGGGTGCAGGTGGTGGATTCGATGGGCCAGAGGCGCCGCCCACGATGGTTTCAAACACTTCTCCCGTTCTCCCGTTCTTAGCCCCCGCGATCATCTGTGTATGGCCGGCCCTGCGAATGGCGTCGCTAAACATGGTCAACTGGTTGGGGTCTGAATGATTCTTCGGTTGAGGTCCAGCACGACTGCTACCCTGGGGCTCCGGAGTACGACGGGGGAAAGCACTTGGCGGAAGGCGGATCATGGCCAGCACCACCCTCGTACTGTCCTCCTCGTTGTTGACATCGCCCACATACCCAAAATATCCTCTCCCAACTGGCGCGTATGCACAAGGGGACTCTGCAGGGTCGACGGGGAGCCTATCTGGGGTAAAGACATGGGATTGGATGACCGAGGACGAGGACGGATTGTACACCGCATGGAGAGGTTGGACATGAACGAGAGACAAAGACTTTATGCTGTATGACGGAGAGAGGTCCTGTAAAGAAATTGCGGCCACCGAAGAATTGAGATGGACGGCGGTTCGGAAATACGAGCCGGCATCCCATGGTAAAGACCACTGAGCGAAGAATTGCGCTGCCGCGAGGTAGTTGACGCCATTGCTGAAATTGCAGCAGCAGACGACGATGCCGCCTTCCCTCGTATACTGGATCAATTGCTGAAGGACATCGGCGTTCCCTTCTTTGGAAATGGCGCCGTCAATGGCGAGGACAGCAGACGGTTTTTTGGTTTTGAGGGCGGTTTTGAGCGCCGCCTTTGAGTCGACAAAATGAAGAGTCGCTGCAGATTTAACGCATTCGAGGAGTTGGGAGAAGAGATCGTATAAATGATGCTCTTTGAGCAAGGCAAGAACGAGGATATTTGGTGGAGCTGACATGAGCGCGAGTAGAGCGCGAGAGAAACGTGACCGAGGAAAACATTATACTTACACGACCGCGAGGGTACCCTGACCGCCACAGTCTAACATGCTGCCAGATTATGAAAAGCTCACGCCCTGCTGTCCATCTACTATGCTTCCAGCCACCTCCAGAACCGCAGAGTGCACTAGCAAATGCGTAATCGTGGCCTGTACTGACGACGCTCCCGTTTGCGACGGCGTCTGTCCAGGGAACCATTGCGATCTCGTCTGTGAAGACGCAACAAACTGTAATGATTGCAATGGCTTCGACGAGTTTGTTCGTACCCTAGTTTTCATCTAATCAGTCCCATATTCACCCCAGTGCCTGCCAGCTTCAGTGTTGCACAGACTTTCATTCGTACTACGAAGAGCCCCGAAATCACCCGGAAACAGCTAGTGGTTGGTCGTGGGACCCTTCCTTGAAGACATTCGTCTGTTCCTGTGGTGGCAAAAGTATGGCTGACATTCCCCCGGACCTGGGCGCGGATTCTCCTCTCTTCGCTCCCACCGATGATTTTTCTACTGCTGTGGATGTCGCCTCCTCGACGGCCAGCTATTCTACCCCCTCTCCGCGCGCTGTATCAGAGGTAATCACCCCCCAGTTGGCTTGTATGTGGGCCGACTGCGGCGCCTCGTTCGATCAACTATCCGCCCTCGCTGAGCACGTAAATTCAATACACCTACGCCATCCGCCAGCTCCGGCGCCCCCCGCCTCGTCCGATGCCAGCGACCCGTTCTCCATGTCGTGCCGATGGAAAGACTGCACTGAATATCCCACACCCGACTCCGTTCCGGGGCCCTCGTCGGGCGACATCGAGTCCATGCTCGGTGTTCTCTCTTCCCACCTCTTCCACGACCACCTTGGGCTTAACAGCCTCCCGACGTACCTCCCTCCCCAGTCATCCGAACTGCCTCTTCCCGGGCCCCACCCCGCGGTCGATGATCCGGCTGTATTACCTTCAGAAGATGAGGGCCATGTTTGCCGCTGGGCCTGGTGCGGACAGAGCTTCGGCTCTATCGACGAGCTCACCATCCACCTCACCAACGTGCATGTGGGGACCGGCAAGACGTCGTATGATTGTTTTTGGCAAGACTGTCCTCGACACGACGAGAACGGCTTCACGAGTAAGCAGAAGCTATGCAGACATCTGCAGGTCCGCCCTCCAAGTACTGCTCGTATCTTTCATGCACCTCATATGTTCTAGTCGCACACGGGCCATCGACCGTTCCAGTGCAAGACATGCCTGCAGAACTTCTCCGAGGCTGCGACTCTGCAGCAGCACATGCGGCGGCACACGCAGGAAAGTCAGTGGATGCTTTACAAAATGCCGTGAGCCGTCACTGACTAGTCGCCCAGAGCCGTATGTGTGCGACCATCCTGGCTGTGGCAAGTCGTTTGCCATCACTGGTGCGCTCACCATTCACAAGCGGACGCACAACGGTGACAGGCCGTTCAAATGTCCGCATTGCGAGAAGTCAGTCTCTCAACTCGTCCAGCTGGATGATGACCACTAATATGCGACTCAGAGCTTTTTCCGAATCTTCCAACCTCTCCAAACACGTATGTCCGCACACCTTCCTCAAACATCTCCCCTAATCCCGCATCTACGCAGCTCCGGACACACACTGGCGCACGACCGTATACCTGCGGCGAACCCGGGTGCAACAAGTCGTTTGCGCGCGCGGACCAGCTGACGCGACACGCCCGTGTGCACAAGAAAGTCTCCGCGAGCTGAATATCTTTATTTTCAGCCTGTACAGTAATATGTACATATGTATACGCGCGTTGGTGTAGGATAGATAGATCGTAAGTCTGTAGTTAGGGCATGCATGGGGTAGAAATTAACCGAAAGAACGTAAAGACGTGAGACGGGTATTGAAGGTGGCTCCGTCGAACAATTCAAGTAAGTCATTAATATCAAACAGGGATCGGGAGAACAACATATCAGTGAGGTATGAGTGCCTCAGATTGCCACCTCCTCGCCGAGACGCGCCGTGCTGCGAACATCACCGACGCGCTCGCCGACACTGCCGAACCACTCCTGCGCCTTGAGCGCACGCTTCTCGCCCGCCTCGGCGTTGCGCACCTCCGTGCTCCGCTCCTCCATCGCGGCACGGAACCGCTCGCGCAGGTCCCACGACGCGAGGCGCAACACCTTGCGCGTCTCGCGTCCAATACGCACGGCGTGCATCGCCTCCCACTGTGCCTCGCCCTCCTCCGTGGCCTCTACCGACGCCCGAATTCGCCGCCCGACGGTGCGCGGGATGGAGCTCGGTAGCTCGAGCACGACGTACACGACCGCGCCGATAGTCACCGCGCCGACGACCGGCAGCGCCCACTTGCGCGCCGTCTCGTTCCCGAAAAAGTCACTCAGGCGCACAATACCCTCGATCACGCCGCGCACACCAATCGCCTGCCCGCCAACCATGGTCAGCGCGCCGACGCCAACGCCAACAACACTGAGTGCCCCCGGCGTCCCGTCGCTCTCAGTGCTCGATTTGCCCTGTGAGTCACCAAAGTG